CTCTCGAGACACACAGCACCTCGAACTCCTCTGCAGCTGGGTGGCTGCATCATAGGTCGCCATCGTCGGCCGCAATCTGAAAGATCAGTGTGTCCCAACGACTTACAGCACAAACACAAGCAGCATACAACCCGTTTCACACGACCGAGATTCAAGTGAATGGCGATGTGGCAGTCACCCGCTCCCCTTGGGGTTCTGTATGTCGAATCCCCTGCTCTTCCTCCATGACGCGGGATAGCCCGGGAGGCTGTGAAAAAGCGGCCTATGGCCGAGCTGCAGTACACTGCAATTCATGATGCTTACAAGTACCTCCTTACGAGCACTTGCCAGGCAAGTTTTTGCTTTGCCTTCGACATCTAAACGGAGACAGATCAATGCCAGAGAACCTGTAGAGGAGCTTGTATTCATCCTTCGTCGGGCCTCCTCGCACGGAGCTCGTCGGTCAGCTTCAGCGCCGGGAGCACCGCACCGCCACACAGAAGGGTCCCCAACAGGCTGTTGCATGTGACCTCATTAACACGTCTCGTGTATATTGCTTCTAACGTATGCGCTTTAACCTGCAAGCTGGCAAAGCTGATGCCCGGGAAGGATTGGACGCCAAGAAACGATGTGCAACTGCAACGAAGCCACCATGGAATCCTCCGGACGGTCAGGTCTGTTCAGAGCCACAGAGCGACAAGATCCGAGCCGCAAGTTGGCGCCAACACTCTCTCCAGCTGACCTGCAATAGCTGCATGGCAGGTCTCCAGCGCCTCGCATTCGCCGATATCCGAGTCTTCTTAAATCGAGCAAGGCTACAGCCGGGCAGGGGGCCCCGGGTAGACCCGCCTTTGCACCGCAAAAGCTGCTGCAGCCGCGCTCGTTGTTGCAGGCTGAGGTCCCTGTCCGCAGGAGATCACGGCGTCACAGCGGTCGGACTCCGATTCAGAGCCTGCGCATGCTGCCTCAGCTCGGTGGCCACTGCAAGTGCCTCGGCCCAGGCCTTCGTTGAAGCACAGCCCTAGGCCCTAGGCACTCTGGAAGAAAATCATCATCGTACGGCCTGTGCTGCTGTGCATGCAGAGGCGAGGCAGCTCCTGCCGTGTCTGGGACACTTCAACACACGCAAAAAAAATCAGACACATCGAAGCATTCTGGCCGCGGTCCAGGTCACCGCGTTTGGTTGCAAAGCCATGCGCTTCATCTCCTCGCGGCTTGGTTGGCAAGACTTCGCCGAAGGCAGATTGGCTGTCTCTAGAGTGGTCTCTTGCGTGCTGTGGTGCTTCGATTCAGGGATTCTGATCATCTTTGTTCTCGGCGCAGGAAACAGCGAGGTGAAGTGACTGGCACATGCCTGACAATAAAACCTCTTCAGAATTCCCGACTAGAGTCCAAATGCATGGCATTCTCTTTCGAGGTGTGCAGCCCGCATCAACTCCTGCTGAAGGCTCAGGACCAATTGCCACTGCAGCTCCTGCCCGCAAGCGCTCATGCCTGAAGCTCCATTGAAACGCGTGACGCCAGATCTGTTCAATGCTTCTGCCGTGCAATGCGTATGGCGTATGCCACAGCCGGCGAGTTGTTTGCTGGAGGGATTTTGCGGGTTGGATCGAATCTCCTTTGCATTCGTCATAGAATTGGTGGCTAGCTGAGATTTCACCAAAATATCAAGACCGTAACCACACCACTTATCCGAAGATCAATGCATGGTTCGTTGTGACTGCCGATGTCTGAGCAGGCTGCAGGCACCGAAGGCGACATCATCCTGGCTTGTGACAGTGTCGCTGGCAGCTGCGACGGGTGCTCAACCAAGGACTTATAATATAATTTTCTCGGAGCTCAACACAACAACAGCATTATGATGATCTGCCGTAGCCGTAGTAGCCTTCGCAGGGCCTTTACCTGCCTGCGACCACTCGATAGTCCCGGGGCTATATCTGCACCCTCATAGTACCCACATGGCACTGAACTGCACCCAAGTGTGGCAAGCGTCGGCATCGCTGCCACAGCGATGTAGCAAAGCAACTGCCTTCTGCCACGCCTCCGCGCAGCCTGGCCGCAGGCTCTGTAGATGATAGACTTCACTCTTGCCAACTCGGGCCTTCCAAAGCTGCCATGCAACTGCTCAACGCCACCACATCCTTGGTGTAGAGATCCAGTCAGGTATCAGATTCCAGCAGTCGCAACACCTTGTCAAGCGCACGAGCATGGCTTTCCAAACTCCAGCCAAATCCCCAAAGACCCAAAGACACTTCGGGCACCGGGCTCCGGGCAGGGCTGTCGGGAAGGAGTGCCAGTGCAGCTGAGCGGACAAGCACCCTTTATTCATGCGTGCGCATTAGCGTGGGGCAGAACTTCTTTCAGGCCGTCCATCCCGACGGAAAGGTGGTTACCAAGATTCTTTACGTGAAGGCTTCTCCCAAGCTTTGAACTAACGCCTGAGGCGAGGATAAACCTAGGAGCACATTGGTCAGAAGTTGAGATCTTACAACGCACACACACACATACACACATGTGCGTGTGCGGTGATTACTTCTCATGTGCCCTCGTGCATTCATTAAGTTATGCTTTTCTGTTCATTCGCGATTTCGTTTATGCATTCATGCACTCACTTATCATAATTGCACATGCACATCTAAGCATGCAAGTTAAATTTCTTGCATGCAGGCGACCCGCAGAGGAGATGTGCGTGTCTGCATGCATACATTTTCTCAACTCGACCTGCGTCTCTATGAAGGAGCAGGTGGCTGGATGGTGGCAGACACCCAAAACACCACTGGCGTATTCGGATGGCCACGGCATCAACAAGCACACAGCATTCTGAGCCTTCCCATCGCCTGCCTTCTGCCAAGGCGGCGATACAGATGTTGAGGAGAGGTCCTCGGTTACAATCGGACATTTGGGGAGTTGCAGGGAATGGCGACAAACAACCAGTCTTACTAAATACTATGCCACTCGTTCCAATGCCTCTCATACTCTGACCTGCAGCCGAGCCAAGTCATGAATCCTGACGTGGTACCACTCGGGATCACGATGTGTGACGCGACCTCTCGCACTAGCCTCAGCACGCGTCTCAAGTGCTCAATTGAAGGACAGCCCCGAATGAAACACTGCGCATGCAACATGTTTATGCATGCAGATGTAGCCCTAATCCACATATCACGCGAGTCTATCTTTACGCTCTGTGCTTTTGTCCATCTACGTCCTCGCGGGATGTATGCTGCCTCATACACACCCACCATGATCCTCTGGGGAAAGGCTTAGGTTGTGCTTTCAGGGTTCGCCTTGTTCCACAGGGGAGTGGATTGGCTTGATGTTCTAATGGTCCAGTGGTTGTCTATGTCCACAATTGGAAACCGATCAATTGAATCGCTTGGAGGGAAAACGATGGCTGTAGTGGTTTAGTGGTTCGTTTAGTTTCATAGGGGGTATGGGTTGCCTTAATGATTTGAGCCCGAGTAGTTTCTCATAGAGGGGGGATGGGTTGGTTTAATGGTTCGTTGGGTTCGGTTTTCTAACAGGGGTGTAATGGTTCAGCGGTTCGACTATTTTCACACTGCGGACGTATTGATTTGTGTTTGATGGCATGTTGGCTTGTTGGTTAGAACCCTCTTTTGCTGTAAAGGCCAGCTTGAACGTTTAGCCCCTTGTCTTCATATATAGGCTAATGCGCGTGGGGTAATGGTTTGCGCTAGTCCGTTTCGTTCCTGAAAGAACATTCTAGTTGAATGGCTTACTGGTTTAGCGGTTCGCGGTCTCCTCGTCTAGGGTTATGACTCCCTGAGACAGAATGATTGGCTTGATTGTTTCCCGGCATCGCGGCAAGCCTCAAACCTTCTAAGCCCAGAATCCTGCATCCACCCATGGATTTCGCCGCAGCTGTCGAAAGGCACGATGTATTCCGACTGATTTCTTTGTGTCCTTTAGCATTTAGGTATACTTTTCTACTTTGCCGTTGGTTGCCGAACGCCTGGAAGGAAGTAACTAAGGGCACGGTGACTCACGCGCACAAACCATGAGCCATAAACGTGATAACACATGCAGTGCAACGGTGCAAGCAACAATGTCAAAACAACACATCAGGCACACATGCAGTTGCAGTAGCCAGTACTTCTCAATGTATCACACAGGAGCATGCACTCGCCTTTGTATGTAGATAGTAAACAGTAGGCGACCTGCACTACCTGAGTATGTGAGAGTGCATGTCATGCGTAGATGAGTACGTGCATGTAGACAGACAAACAGGCAGGCAGACAGACAGCCAGACCGACGGACAGATAGATGTATCGGTTTAGGGTGTATGGTTTGGGGTGCCTATACATACATGTATCATTTACCACAATGTAGCAGGACTGTAACGACACAGCACTATGCCGCGGAGCCATCTACAATGCTAATGTTTTCTTGACATAGCGGAGCATATATACCAGGACACGGTAATCGTATGGTCATCAAGCATGCAACATGATACTGCAAATTCGCATTCAACAGCGAAATAAAGCTAAGCCTGTAGACTCTTGTTACCCGAGGTCGCCAGTACAAGCAAATCAACAACCGAGTGCATGTACGCTCATGCTAAGTATGAGAGAGAGAGAGAGAGAGAGAGAGACACGGATGTGCAGGCACGCACGGACGCACGCACGCACGAACGACACACACACACACAGACAGAGACAGACTGAGACAGATAGCCTTCCTTGTCCGGTGACTGCAGTGCGTGTTCCCATCTTTGCACAACGCTGGCGGCAAGGCTGCATGAGATCTCGCTGAGCTGCCTTGGACCGATTGGACCAACCCCACGCTAGAAGGCGTTGTCAGCTCCAGCCATATTTGGCTCTGAGGAACCTGCAAGCCAGCTGCGGGAGCTTGCCAAAGGAGCATGGTCAGTGCTTGTGGCCACCTGCAATTCTCGCACCCAACACACGGTCGCACGACAGAATCCTTTGAACTTGACCTGGCCACACAGCTCGTAAGCTGTCCTCTCCCTCAAGTCTCGAGACCGTGTCGAAGACCATCACAGACTACTGCAATGCACTGCAGGCCTGCCTGACTCCTGCAGCAACCTGCGCTGCCGAGTTCCAGGCCACAAGGTCGGTCTGCAGGCTGCGCAACCTCGGACCCCCGTGGTTCTCATGCCCGCAGGGAAATGTCTGAGACTCCAGGTTGCTGGTGCAAGGTGTGGTCTTGCCTCTTCACCGAGAGTGGTGATGTGATGACATTGTGGTTTCCAGTTTTTGGTTGAGTCCCGGAAACGGGCGGGCATTGTGCTAGGTTGACTGCGATCCTGCAGCTGCGAACCTTGCTTGCGAGTTTCGTTTCGACACTTCGGAACAGACGGCCTGTCAGATCCTGCTAGTTCGAGAAAGTGGCGTTTCTGTGCCTCCACATGGACGGCAGCGGGGCGGAAAGACCCCATGCTTGGGCCAGGCCACATCGTGACGGGCTCCGAGGCTTTGCAGAACTGTTGCTCTCGGATTGAGAGCTCCTTCCATCAGGTGTGGCTTGTGGCATCTGTGCCCGAGATCTCTCAGCTCACATGCAGCAGAAACCTTGGTGCACACCTAAGCTTTGCTGACCCGTTCCAGCGAGCAGATCCAACTTATCAAAGTAATCGTTCCAAAAGCTTGTGTGGGAGGGGAGAAAGGGTAGTTTTCAAACTCTTTGCAAGTAAGGACCGCAGTGCCGGCTTGCACCAAGACTCTGCCAAGCGACCGCATCTCGTGCCACAGATCGAAGGCCTCACAACGGACGGCATCCTTCAACTCTGCATTGCAGCACTGCGGCCTCTCTTGTTTCTCCAAGTCAAGCATTTCGTGCAGGTGCACCCCCCGTTTTAGGAGCGGTTGCAGAGAGCATCGGCCTGGTCTTCCTCTGGGCTGACTGAACGACTTCGTGTCTTTAGCACGCTTAGGGACGAACGCCCCCAGCGGGACTCTTTGTTCAGGAGCCAATTCCCTCTTTCTCTCTGGCTCTCCATTTTCGTCTCGGGATCCTCTCTAGCAACTCTAGCATTTCCCTCAGAGACATCAGAATATTTCAGGACTTCAGAGCCTCCAACCAGCGAGATTGTCGTCCCAGGGAGTCGATCGCAATCGCATGCTCCTACGGGTGTTCTCGATCTCCAAACGTTGGAAATTTGTGTTCTCCAAAAGCCCGCTCCTTTGCACCGGAAAGCCAGGAGTTTGCTTGAAGCGTGCTCAAGGCCGACTCGAGCTCCTGGGAGGAAGCGTCGCTGTGACGTCATGCGCCAGCTGAGATGACGCTCGCTGCCACATCTGCCTTCGGCGAGGCGCCGCGGTCGCGAAGCCGTGCCAGGAGCAAAGCCTCCATAGACAGGACAACCCCTCACTGCCACTGCCTCAGAACAACCAGAGAACACCGCCTTGAGGCTGCGCTTCTTTCGCCGCTGTGGCGGCGACCTGTGGCAGCGGGATCAGCAGAAGGTGTGAGGATTGTACTTCCTGATTCTCAGAAGTCTTGGAATATTGGGCGCAGCTGCGGCCCCTCAGCGCAGATACTTTTGTTGACTCCCGGAGACTCGGAGAAGCGAAAGCAACTGCCTGGTGGATGCGCATCTCCCTTCCATCCAGGGCGAAGCGGAAACTCACAAGATACAAGATACGTAAGACATCAAGTTTAAAGCGGCTCGCCCTCCTAGAGCATTGTTGCTCCCCCTGTCTTGAACTTTTGCATGCACTTCCAAACAAACTGAAGCTTACGGCTGCGGAATGCATCTCGAAGGCACGCAATGGCACGCAAGACATCACAACAAAGTCAATTCGAAAGCCTCCGGAAAGAAATGTCAATGTGCAGACATGACTGCCTTGTGCTGGCAAACATGCACGAGCCATGTAATCTCACCATATCTCATCGGCCACATCTTTTCCGATGTCCGCGCGTTGCTTGCTGGGCTTTGGTGGCAGAGTTGTGCAATCTATTGCAGGTGCGGGATTGATCTAGTTTTTTCTTGGAGGGGAGGATCTAGTTTTCTTAGGACACATCTGTGCCACAGTGATCCCGAATGACAATCAGCAAGTGCATGGTTGCATTGCTTTAGCAACTGCATGCATCGTGCAAAGTGCTGTGTGCTAGTGCGCTGCTTTCAGCACTGGTGCCTTTAACGAAGCACGTCTTATTGAGTCCGAGACCTCTACTCTGTCTCGAAGAAACCGTCCCTGAAATTGCTCAAACCTGCTGAAACTACGGCAAGTACGGTGCATCCATGGAAGCAAGACCCAAGCAGAAATGGCTAAGACGACTTGTCAGGATCTGCAGCTACACTCTGCTGCACCTTCGAAGCTCTCTAGAAACAGCAGGGGAGGCAGGTCCATCTGCGTAGCACCCTCAACTCTTGTCAGAGCCACCGTCGGATCCCGTCACATCGCTGTCCTCGAGACTCAAACTGCAACAAACTGCAAAATGACCTTCAGCGAGCAGACTCGTTGCCACGCCTCCATTTCTTCGCCACTGTCACCTCCGGAGCCCTGCGGTGGAGTAGGCTTCCTGGCAAAGAGCTTCGATGACATGATATGAGAAAGAACAAAAAAACACCGCATAGAGTACAATGATATGTAATACCATACAAGGTTATATTACAATATATTACACACCAAATAACATCATATAGTAATATAGTGCAGTGTCATATACGAAAGAGGCAATATAACATGACAGACCAGAATGCAACACAGTGCCATGCACCCTGGCAAGGAAGTATAATGCACTGCAACACAATATAGACATGTAGCACATACAACGTAATACCATATCCAATCATTTCATTCAATACAACACATACAGTACTATATATGCTTTTCTGCACTGTACTGACACATACAGTACTATATATGCTTTTCTGCACTGTACTCTACTGTACGCTACTCTACTATACTATGCATTACTATGCTATACCATACTATACTCCACACTATAAGATGCTATACTATACAACACAATACTATGGTGTAGTGTACGGTACTGTACTATACTATACTATACTATGCTATGCTGTCCTCTACTATGTTGTACTACAAAATGTTATGCTCAACTATACTATACAACACTTGACTGGACTAGCCGATACACTACCATTACTAAACAAAACTACACTACACAGTTGCTATACAATGCTATACCATACGATGCGCTGCTGCTACTACTACTACTACTACTACTACTAATCACTGCTACCACTGTAACTACTACTACTACTACTACTACTACTACTACTCCTGCTGCTGCTGCTGCTACTACTGCTACTACTGCTAAAACTGCTACAACTACTACTACTACTGCTGCTGCTGTTCTACTACTATTACTACTGCTGCAGCTCCAACTATTCCTGCTTTCACTCCTACTCCTGCTGCTGCTACTACTACTAATGATAGTAATAATGATTATTACTACAACTACGACCACTAATTACTACCACTACTATTGCTACTGCTATTCCTACTACTCCTACGCCTACTCCTGCTACTACCATTCCTACTACTCCTACTTCCACTGCTACTACAACTACTCCTACTACCACTACTACGACAGCAGCAGCAACAACAACAACTACTACTACTACTACTACTAGTCCCTTTACCATTACTCTTACCATTCCTATTACCGTTACTATGACAATTACCATTACCATGACTTTGACTATCACTGCTATTATTTCACCGCCTATCCCTATTCCGATTGTTCCAACTACTAGTACTAGTACCGTACAACATGTATTCACACATATTTACACATGTATGATTACATATATTGCACTACAGCACTATATAACATGGGACTTGCTTGCTTGCTTGCCGGGCGTTTGGGCACGGGAGGACCCCGGTACCCTGCGCTCTCGCGCTGCGCCATTGTTCGTGTCTTGGTTGTGAGACATGGAAGGCACAGCCCTGTTCCACGGAATGGCCCATCTCCTCCCAGCCTCACATACAGGCAGTAACAGTCCCCGATGCTGCTCCCCGCCTGGGCCATCCCGTGTGAGCTGGTCCCCTCTCTTGTGCGGGCTTTCCACGCTTCCCCGGGCATTGCCGGGTCAGTTGTCGGAGTTCAAGGCTGCACTTTAGCTTTAGGGCTACAGCATGACAAAAACACCTGGCACATCATATCCTACACAACAGTTGTCCTCAGCCCCGTTTCCGACTGAAATGTTAGTGGGACTCTCTCTCTCTCTCTCTACATCTATCTACCCATCTATCTACCTATCTATCTACCTGTCTATCTATCCATCCAGAAATAAATAAACATATATATATATGTATATATATAGATATATATGTGTTGTGTGTGTATATATATATGCTATATATCGCCTATTCTATGATTAAATACGACTCTAGGACACAATACTGTACCATAAACTGTGGCATAATATTGTGGCGGCATACTTAGCAGCGAAGGACCATACTGCAAACACACCACGAGAAGCAATGGGTTTACGAGAGGGCTACGCGACCGGGACGACCACAAGGAACCATCCAGGATCATGAAGAGACCACCAGGACGCCCATCGGGACACCACGGCCAAAATATTCCATCCCAAGTGACATGAGCGGCCTGCGGCGGCATTCAGGACCACGGCGAGAATACTTCCCCCATCTATTGGCGGGATTCAGAGACGCGGGCCCTGTGGCTGGCGGGATTCAAAAGTTTCCAGGCCGAAAGCCATGTACCTGGCTTTCAGGTCGGCATGGACAGAAGGATCCTGCGTCAATAAAAAGATATACTTGCAACCTATTTGTGTTGCACTGAAAGTTAGAGCCGCATAGTGTGTACAACAGTTTGGGGAACAATAGAGTAGTAGAGCAGAACAGAACGGAATGGCCCAGAACAGGTCCAAATATGCTAGAATAAACCAGAGTAATGGAATAGAAGATGAGAGATGAAAAATAGAGCAGCGGATAGAGCAAAAACACACAGCACCACACTACACTCCTCTGCATGACACCACACCACACCACACTCCTCTGTTAATGCACACGACATCTCACGACACTGCACACTACACTCACTACACTACACGGCACTCCACGACACTAAGCTGACACAATCACAGCACCTGAACTGGCATGTTTGAAGTTCAACTTCGCAACATGGCTGAAGCTTGCCAGCTGTGCTTGCAGTAGAAGTATAGGCCGGCTCCGATGATGGCGATGCCAAACGGGGACATGACACCTGGAAGAGATACGCAGACACGGTATCAAAGGCTCGACAGCAGCTAGCCGCCGGTTCTTGCTCTGTTACGCTGCTAGCTCTCCATGCTGCAAGTGGTCTGCCTGCCATAAGCGCGGCCTTCGACCCAGATGACGGGCTCCTTGGATGCTTGTACCCGGCAATTCTGAGACTTTCTCTGACTTGCAGCCTGTGCTGCGAAGCAACGCGTCAAGGCAGTGGCTTGAAGCAAAAGCTGCTCTTGGTTAGCGCAACCGCAATGCACTCACTGCAACTCCACATGCACGCTTTCCATCCCATCTTTGCGGTTCCTGGCTGCACCCTGCGGCGGGGCACCCTGGTAACCTCTCCAGTGCCCGACCACAAGACTTGTCCCGTCACATGTTGCGGGGGACTCTCTGGGTGTGCAGGGGAGTGTGGAAAAATGCTTTTGGGCCACAAGCTACATCTGACGGTCTCCCTGCGGCTAAAGCTCTGAGTAAACTTGGCCCCCTGGGCCCCCGGGGCACCTTGATAACCTCTGTGCCAAGAACGCTGGGAATTGAGGCCACAGTCTATCGTGAGGACTCGCGACGGATGGCAATTGACAGTGTAGCAGGCTGCACTCTAGCTAGTATGTCATCTTAGTATGTACCAGCTGTGCCGGAAATCGCTCCGCTATGATCCTACTACCAATGTACCGTGCCAACATCAATCCGACTGCTCATTACGTGTGCAGGGGGCAGCGTAAGGTGCCCATGGACCCTTGCCTGGTTGCCCGGGCTGCCCCTGGTAGTATCCTGACCAGGTAATCGGGTATGAATTGCGCACCGGGGAAATGTACTTAGAGTCGACTAGTGCCCTAAGTAAACGGCGAAGTAGCAAACTGACGTTGTCCTTGCTGGTTTGGCGGATATCCTCCCTGCTGCTGATAGCCTTGCTGATAGCCGCCTCAATGCAAGTTGCTCTTCGACTCAACATGCTGTGGGATCATGTTCAGCCCAGTGGCCCTGCTGTTGATAGCCGCCCTGCGGCGGGGGACCCTGGCCCTGCTGGAAGTTTTGCTGCGGTGGTCCCTGCATTTGGCCTCGAGGCCAGAGCCCATGATGCAGCGAGCCCATGCTGAGACAAAGCACAAGAAAAGCCAAGCTTCGAGCCTTGCTGGCCTTGCTGCTGGAAGTTCTGCTGCTGCTGGAACTGCTGTTGTTGCGGTGGCTGCTGGAATTGTTGTTGCTGCTGGAAGTTTTGCTGTTGAGGAGGTGGTCCCTGCCATTGTTGCTGAAAAGACGAGGCCGACGAGTGAGAGCCCAGGAAAGAAGTGCCTTGGCTTTGACTAACGCAGCCTGGCTTTTCGGACCACCCCTGAGGTGCTCGCCGATGTCGCCCCGTCGCGAAGGCACAGCACGACTGCCACATGCCGGGACCAAGCCTTTCAACGAAGTGCCCAACAGTTGACAGTTGAAAAATTATGACTGTCGTGGGTGCGAATGGTGCACAGCAGCCAAGGGTGCCTGCATCATGGTTGCCAAGCCAGTCTTGAGCGCTGCGGCGCCTCCCGTTTTGTTTAACGCGCATGCCAGCGTCTCCAAGCTCCTGCGTCTTCCTGAGAAACTCTTGTCACACAAAGCAGTTCTGGCAGCAATTTCCGATCCGCGCAAACTAGTGAAACCTGAAAGTGGCATGAAGATGGAAAGTGCCGCAGCCCTGTCGGGACAAAGTGAGTCTCGCTCAACAATTCAACCTGGTGTTCATTCGGTTTGAGACAGCATGCGACAGTTTCCTCTTTTGACCAAGAGCTCGTAAACGGGACCAATCACTGTCACAGTCAAGCCCGCCTGGGGAGAAGTGCAGCCACTGCCTCCGAGGCAGCACGTGCCTGCCACCAGCCAAAGGGTTCACGGTCCAACTTCTACTTCCCTTCGAGTTGAGTCCAAGAGAGATGAGTCAGCACCTCATCCAGCGAAGCAAGCGATGTCGCATGGAAACTCCTGAACCTGCAGGAGCTTTTGCAACTTGTTCTGGTGGCAGTGGCACCCAGCTCTGCAGCTTGGGGCTTCTTGGGCAACGCGTGGCCTTAGATCTCCAGGCTCCAGCGTCGTTGGGCCTGCAGGGCTGACCGCAAACCCCCGCGAACAACATGCGCCGGGCTCGAGCACCTGCATCCCAAGAAGCGGCCAACAAGCCCTTGGCCATGGCCTTACAGTCCAACGCAAGGACCACTATGGACCACTGGCCCTAGCAGTGACTGGCTTGCCTTGCAGGAGCGCCACGGGACTTTGCACGAAGCGGCTGTGAAGCCCAAAGCCCATGAGAAGGCCATGTCGTGCACAGCGTGGCAAATGACAGTTCACAGAACACGAGCAGAGGCGTGCAAGTGCACAGTTGCACTTTTCCTGTGCAGCCGTCCCCGAGCTGATGTTCCACCAGCGATCCGCAAGCCACTGCTTGTGGTGCGTTCCCCCTAGGATTGCCAAAGGTGCCAGCCGCTTGCACAATCTGAAAAGATTTGCAGATCCTCTACACACGGGGCCTGGCAGCAATTTGCCATTCAAAAGGCAATCCAGCTAGCCTGCCTCGTTCACAATGATGAGAGCGCGTTGTGACTTTGCAACGCACTCGGTGAACACACTGCCCAGCACTCTCCCTAAACTTCAGACATCTTGTTGAGCGCTGCAGCAGCATCAGAACTCCGCTCGCTCAAATTCTGGGTGGCATCCTGGCAGAACCCACTGCTGTCTGTTGCCATATTCACTTTCAAGAAATCCCCTAGTCTTCAGCCAGCTGGCTTCTGGGTAAACCGTCGGATTGATCCCCAAATGAAACAGTTTGCGGTATGAGAGCAAGAGGAGCCTCTGCTTTGTGGGAAGCTGAGCCTTTTTGCGCTCCAATGCGATACTCTGGGCCTTCCCCAGGCCGAAGCTCCTCGCCATGGCCACTCTGCTGCAGGCGGAGGAACCGGCGAAGCCTCAAACGAGCACGATGACCGCGGACCGAGGGCTCAGGCCAGGGCGGCCCTCAGCCCTCCGGGCTTCTATCCCTGCCATAAGGCTTTTAGGGCTCTAGGGGAGAGGAAGCAGTTGCAGTCGCTGCAGGGATTCGTCGAGTCACCTTCCCCTTCGTGTATGCCCCCCCAGACTACAGCTACAGCTACGTAGCCTGGCACATGGCTAAGTGCTCTTGCAGCTCCGCAGTGCCTCCATTTGCTGCATACCGCAGCGGCTGCAGTAGGATGCCTTGCTGGTTATGACAGATCTCACGGGCAGTGAATCTGCCGGCTGCAAGGTGGTCAGAAAGGATGGCTCAGTAGTCAGACGTAGCGAAGTGCGTCGGCCTCTGGAGAAATAGCAGCACCACAGTAGGAGCAGCGTGGCATCGCAGGGGCCGCAGGCGGCGGCGCCTTGGGTGCACAGAAGGCACAAGCGCACGCACGCACACACACACACACAGAGAGACACAGACACAGAGACAGCAACAGCAGCAGAAATACGAGGTAACAAAGACTGTGGATGTGACCGGTCTCCGCTCAATGGGCGACGGAGCTCGAGGAGCAGGAAAGCCTGGACACGAAGGAAAAAAGGGGCTGCAAGTCATAGCAGCTTCCGGAGATAGTCTGGGGTGAGGGCGCGCTGACGGTCCGGCTGCCGATATCGGGTTGCGTGCGAATGACCCTGGCATAGCAGACTCTGACAGGAACGGTCATGTGGGAACATGTTGGCACCACAGAGGCGCCTGCGCCTTCGTGCAGGCGCGGCGCAGGCGGTGCGGGAGCAGAGCCCGGGCCCGGCGGACCAGCATCTGGCCTGGCAGAAAGCGGGCAAGAGGCATCCGATTGAAGCGGCCGGTGCTTGCCTTGCTGAACGCACATCAAAGAGGGCCGTGTGTCGCTGCAAAATCTCGGACCTCAAGCGCCGTGCTCATGATGCGGCACTCCGACACCAGGAGCAGCAAACGAGCGTTTTGACTGGCCGAGGGCATGACCCTTGCATGCCAAGCCCGCTCGCAGTCTTTGGCGCCCGAGCAGCAGAGATGACACCGGCAGTGGGGGCTGCACGGAAAGCCTTCAGAGATCCACGGCTCAGTGCTGGCGGGAGGCACACGGCGAATGCACAGTAGATTGCAAGGATCCACAGAACTGGCCGTCCTGCATAGGGTCACCCAGTGCGCTGCCAAACTCGTCGGCGAACCACACCTGCCAGAGATCGCATAGCGAACTAGCAACATTGACGAAGTCGTCCTCTTCTTCTTCGATGGGCCTCCTGGTATCTCTGGTCGAGTGCCGCAACACGCTCAAGGAACATATGTCCATCTGTTGACCTGGAGCAAGAGGAACAGGACGAAACTGAGGAGGAAAACGTGTAACGGGTTGCGACATTCCAATGTAGCTCAAACCTGCAAACCACAACATAAGCCGTCATAGCGTGGAGTTCGCTAGGTTGCTTCCGTGCAGCGTTGTTCCTGGATGAGGCAGGGGCGTAGCTACGACAAAAGCACGAAACAGAAACCATAACAGCGTATTTCGGGCATAGATCAATCCCCGATTTCGCAGGGGCCCCCACGACTCCAGGATGCGGTCCAGATCCGTGCAGTAGGCCTAGCGCTTCGCAGTTGTAAGGTGTTGATTTGCTTGTGTCTGCATTGCAGAGAAACCACACCGGTTCTTCTGCTGCAACGGTGGGGTACTCTGGCGGGCCAGCTACTGAGGAAGGGTGCCTCCAATGCCTTCTGCTCTTGTGCATCCATACCTCACCGTGCCGAGACATGTGTATCATCAATCACCCATCAACTCCAGCCGAGTGCAGCACGCTCCCAGGGAAGATCTGTGCGCCTCTCACATGACCCGTTCCCAGTTATTCACAGCTCGTGCTCAGTTGCTTCGAGCACCTGGGCGAGATGCCGGCCATGGCAGGCATGTCAGCTCAGTTCCGATCTTCCGCAAACCTGTGCACCTCTGAGACCTCGCTGGTGCCACTTGAGCTGGCATTGATCTACAGCATATTCGTTGCTATCTTGCGAGTTATGTCATGGAAGCATGTCATGCTGTCTTCGATTTGTACAGTCAAGCTACAGCGACGGGACCTTCGCAGACCTCCCTGACATTTGACATGGCTCTTGCAGTACAAAATCAACTCGAGGGAATTTCTTGAGACGGAGAGTTGGAGTCGATTTCAGTCTCAAGAGGCCTCCTTTGTACAAACAGCTAGACCGCGATGGCCCATCGCATTCTAGCTGTGCAGCCGCACCTAATGGTGTACCCAGAATGCCCAGAGAAGTGAGACAGCAGCCCACCGGCCGTCACTGCACAACATCCGAATCCCGGAGCAGCGGGTCCATGTGGCACAGGCCGTCAGAAAGGCCTCGCACAAGCGACACACACACACACACAAGAGCTCAAGGTACAGAGGGAGCCGGTCTCACAACTGTTGATCTTGAGGTTTGGGCTTGAGGTTGAGGAGGTTGGGGCCAGGGTTAGGATTTTGATTTGATGTCATGATGGGTGAACAGCTCTGGCTTTCCATCAGCAGGCCCCGTTGCATCGGGTGTCCGACATTCTGGCATCCAGGAAAGAAACCTCTTCAGTATCCACACCACTCCTACCTAGATCTTCTCTCATCTGCTAGGCATGAGGCCCTTCTGTGGAAAGGGCCTGCGCAGAAGGCTGATGGAACAGCACGGCCGGGCGTGTGATCGGAAACTTGGGAAATGTCCCTGTGAAAAACCTCATTGCATCGTACCCGTGCCCCCACACTCATTCCAATGCTCTGGAGGATGCCTGGCCAAAGAGGGTTCGTTGCGGACCACCAAGCCTCGGTAATCCGGAAGCCCCCTGGCGCTCTTCAGAACAAGCTCTATCGCCTCCTGCGATGCTGCGATCCTATCCTTCAGCTCCTTTCCCCCACTTGCCACCTTATAAGGCACAGGCGAAGACCAGCGCCTCGGTCAAAAGTCACGAAAAGCTGTCTACCCTCCAAGTTTTCAACACCTCAAAAGTTGCAGAGACCTCGTACAGTACAGACTTCATCCACACACATGAAAACAAAGCACGGGCTGCAGCGAACCTGAGCACCGAGCTAGGGCAACGAAGTGTGCCTGCAACCGAAGCAGCATGGAGTCGGGGGCGCCCAGGCCTGGACAGTGCAGAGTGGCGTTGGGAAGTGCAGGAGTGCGTCCCGCCTGTGTTCAGAAGCTCTGAACCTGGCAAAGCCGAAGCGGGAGCGGGACGGCGGGAAGCGGCGGGAAGTGGGGACCGCAGGAAGTCTGACATCAAGACGGAAAGCCCGCCCGGAGCACCGGAGCCGAGTTCGATCACGGCTGCTGAGGCGCAGGAGAGGCTCCCTCCAAGCTTTCCGACACTCCGCAGACGCCAAGATCAGAGTTTCTTGGAAGGGCGCCTGCAACAGCGTCTGCACAGCTGAAAGGAAAGGATCCCACGATCACCAGGAGCAGCGACACCTGGCGAAGGAAGCGATGCCACAAAAATCCCTCATCCGTTCCAGCTGCAACGACCACTCGTTTGCCACCAACTGATCCGGACCAAAATACCCCTCGACTCGGATACCCAACATCCCTCTCGAATCCTTGTACGTTCCACCCGAATTAAACTGCGCCTGTATGCCCTCGAGGACCGCTCTGCAGCCTCCTCCAGCCAAAATGCTGATGAACTATGATCCAAGCCAGGATGAACAGGGCGGATTGTTCTTTTTCGATTCTGAGCTTCGTCATGGGCAGTCCACATGTATGTCACTGCTGTGCACGAAAGCAGAAGCCACCTCTTCTTGGCTGCTTCCTATTCATGTAGAGGCAGCCCAGCACGAAAGCGACGGGCAGAAGGCCGCAAATACCTGCCATGCCAAGGTTGCTTGTGCGTGGGTGTGTCGGCGATTGAATGTGTGCGACGGTAAGGGAATGCAGCGGCACCTGCCAGCCAGACATCCACATTGCCAGGCCATCCTGCCATGGAAAGCACATCTGCAAGAAGCCAGCGGTGCCCACCCGAATGTCCACACCCGATCCCTTGTACAAATGGCTGGGTCACGTGCTGATTAAGGCTTGCACCTCCTGGCGTCCTAGTGAACATCTTCCCAGACAGCTACAAGCATGGCACGCGCACTTTCCAGGAAGCCTGGCTCAGCCGGCAGTGGCACAGCCTTGTGCAGTCGGACAATCGGCAAACCGCGGGTCCCTCCTGCCCGAGGGTTGCCTGCTGTATGAGCGGTGCCATGGCATCCACCGGGCCGGATCTGAAGATGGTGAATTTCTAAGTTGTCTCGATTCTATGAACCTCAGATCCCCACAACCCGTCTTGGAGCTGGGTCCGGTCTTGCAGCGTTGCCCTGCTGTCGTACGACTTGTTCGACGAATGGTGGCGCTCGAGAACGTCTGCTCGGAGCAATGAACCGAAGTTCTGCGTGGCACCTACCAGCACACTTCCCAGAGACTCTGGTTGCGAGTCTGCACCGGCATTGCCTTTGTGGCATGGAAGCATCGCGGCATGTCACTGAGACGGAGTCTTTGGTTCATGCACTAGCACTGCAATAGCAATGCGGACAGGACGGGCCTCACATCGCAGGCAGTAGGTGCATACATAGATTGAGCCAACATGCTCTCTCTTGAAAGGCAAGGTCCGATCTACATGAGAAAGTCTGTACAAGTAGCTCCTTAGGCGCTACGGAGATGCTAACCTCAAAGCACACTGCAGAGCAAGCTGCAACTCTTTCCACTTGCCAAAAGTTCTGCCCGTTTCTGCGCCAAGTCTTTGGTTGCATAGACCCGACGAACAAGAAGTGTAACCTCACTTTGCACTGCCTCAATGAAGTCTCAATGAGTGCTACTGTATTGCCGATGCGCATGAACGAAAGTGTTCCGGCTGCAACTGCTGACGGACTTGGGGATTCATGTCTGAAGACTGTGGGCTCAAGCCAAGCTTGTGTTGCTAGCTAAGTTTGGACTCGAAGCCAAACTGCCACCCAGAGGGGTCAGGCTTGGCGCAGCTCATTTCGGCCGCAGCAGCCTCGTCCAGGTGCCCTCGGAAGGAGAGTTGGGCAAGATACGACTCGGTATGATCACTGCGCAAAGAAAAGCCGCCATGCTTTAGACTAGGGAGTTGTCGTTGTGAGGGTCTCGAACTGGTCAAAAAATGGGCACCATAAAGCTCCGTGACCGGAATTCTCGGACTCGTTCTAAGCTTCCCTGCAAGCCACTGCTAGTCAAGGCAGAGAGATCCTCCAAAACGAGCTTTCGGAACAAGTCTGCCTGCAAGAACTGAAAAAGCAGAGAGTGTGAAACAGGCGGAGACCGGCAAACTCCGGTTGGGAGCACTCCCACGATCCTGAGGCCTGTGCAGTCCTCTTTTTCTTCATCTTGAGGCTTATCCTGCTCCGAGAGCACCGACATTGCAGCAACTCAGGAACCCTCGTCTTGAGGGCCATGGTCCTCTTCCCTGCGCTCACGCGGTGCTTGGACTCCTCCGCGACCTCCCGAGAGCGGTGCGAACACCTTCTCGCCGAGCCATGCAGAGGCGGAGGATGGCGGAGGCCCGAGCAATTTCGCCCTCCAGCTGCTTGAGGCTGAGAGCGAACTCCTCTGAGCCATCTAAGATGTTGACCCCTCAAACACCACACAGACACTCAAGCAAGAAGACGCAGTCCTTGGCGCCATCACATACGCGCACTTCAACCGAACGCACATCAAAACTGACCTGCGCATGCGCACTGCATGTGGCCATCCGCTACTGTACTGGCCCGGGCTGTGGCAAATCCGAAGAGCCTAGTTCCAAGAGTCTTCCCGTGCCTTCACTTCTCCGCGAGTGGCTGCCTCAATCGCCTCAGCATGCGCTAACAACCATCCAAAATCTGGAAGTCACTGCTCAAGGATCACGTCTTCTGTAGAGCACTGGTGAGGAGGAACCCAGTCCATGAGTAGTCATCTCGTCCCGACTCGTCCCCGACTCGTAGATTCCTTCAGCCTCCCTCTGGCTCCAAAGCATCTGCTCTCAGGCTTCGGCCTCAGGCTCTCCCTCGGCGGAGACGTAGATGCAGACAAAGTCGCCCTCAGAGCTACCGTTTAAGGCAGCTTCGCAGTGCAGCTCCTTTTGGGATGTCCCGTCCAAACTGGGCCTCGTCTGCCCAGGAATACTTTGTCAGGGGCCGGGCAGCAGACGCCTGCAGGCGCAGATGCTTCGATCTCAAACCCACTGCCAAGCCATTGCAGACGTGCAGACACCAGGCTGTGCAGCGGTGAGCACCCACAGCCTTAATCGCATCGCCTGTCATGGAGAGGGAGAAAAGGCCAGCATACAAGTCACAACCTGCGCATCCGTTGGCCTGAGTCCGCATTTTGGGACTCAAGCTTGATGGGCTCGCCCCCATACACGTAGCGGAGCTCCGGTGGAAGCTCCTCAAATTCCCACCACATCTTGCAACCACTGCGCTGCAGCAACCAATTCCAGCCTTTTCGTTGGCGTGCGCATAGTAGTAGCCTTGCCGTGTGGGATGCTCGCATGTTTTGGGTTTAGTAATCCGGCACCAGAATGTAAACGACAAGCTTTAGATTTTGGAACATTTCTCGAGACCCAAATGCCACCACAGCACTGTTGCCACCGTTGTTGCGAATGGACTCCCGTAGGAAGGAATTCTCCGGCCGAACCTTTCAATACAAAGTCTGAGCATACATGGCAGCAAAGCCGTGCCTTTCTTTCGCAGCGGACATCTATCAAGTAGGTAGCCTTTACAATCTCTTTGGACCGTTGCAGGGCCTCCACGGCGTCAGCCTTAACTGTCAACGAAGCGCCGTCCTGAGCGAGCGAGGGGCGGGGGCGGACACTGCGGGAGGCTGCTTGGAACGTGCCCCAAGCGAGATTCGACGCTTCTTCGTTGCCAAGAACCAGGTCCCCGCGCTTCGACGCCCTGCTCGCCAAGGCTTTGCTGTGCCTTACAACCAGTAGCCAGTGGTTGACCCCATGAAAGGCGTGAGAAAGACGAGGCAGGACACTTCCAAGACTTTCTTCACGGAGTTTCGTGACCTCGCGGCGGGGGGATGGCTCAAGCACTAATCTGTACCAAACGGCCACGTGCGCAGCGCTGAACCGTGCAATGAGAATGAGAGCTTCGCCCGTTTTGGAAGCTCAGCGCCAAAGTCACCTCGGGCAAGTCGGATCGAACGAGCCTGCTACCTGCAATGTAGGACCTGCTGTGTGGTGCTTTTGAAGCTGGTTACGTGCAGGAAATCGGATGCGCCAACCCCCGCCCAGGGTGCCCGCCGGCCTCTGCATCCAGGCCCAAGGCTTCGCGAAGCCTCTCCTTCAGTGCCTGCGCGGCTCAAGGATGCGCAAAAGCAGCACAGGGTCACACCGCACCTCACCAGTGATGTCCGCCGAAACTGACAGCTGCTGAGTGGCAGCCTTCGAGTAGAGGACAGTCCTCAAGTCACCGGGTGCCAGGCGTGCCCATCAGAAGTGCCATAGTCTGGTGCGGTGAGGCCGAGGATGAGACAGGCTCAGCTCGCCTGCCTCCTGAGAGCAAGAAGAAGCCCGGCTGAAAGTGCCCCTACGGAAAACCCAACTGAAGGTCACGCAGTACACCCAAAAGCACGTGCTCGAAAAACGATGCCCTTCTCAGTTCACTTCCTGAACCCGAAGAGTTCAAGAGCCGGAGCCTGGGCCGCCATCCCGCGCTTGCACCGAAGGTCAGGGGCCCCCCCGTATCTAAGCTTTGAGATCGTTTGAGGATCGGCGGAGGATGCCCGAAACTCGGCTCAATCTCATGGGCTTTCGTCACCTCTTGTCAACGCTTTTGCATGAGCTCGACAATTTTCGCTCCAAAGTTCGGGCACCTGCTTCTTCAGCGGCATGGCCTGCCAGGCTTGCACTTGCACAGCTCCTTTCGGCTCGTTCATGCCTTTGAAACTCCACAACCATCACCCTTGCACAGGCACGAGGGCTGCTACCACCAGCGCCGCCAGCAGTAAGCGCTGAGCACAGCCGCAAAAAGCATCTAGCACCAAGACTTTGCTAAAGGTCGGAGATCCTCTGGGCGAAGTACATCTGGTCAGTCTGAAACGGCGGAGTGACCACCGCCTTCACACGCGCAGAGCGCTGATTCCCCAGGCCTGACCGTGCCTGGCCCCTGCGCTGACGTTTCTGCAGCGCGAGGGCCGCATCCGCAGCGCTGCGGCGAAGCCTAAGAGCAAACCATCGGAAGGAAACTGTCGCAAGGAACATACTTTTTATGGCAGGTTTCGGCCTTTCTGGATGCTGCCCTATCAATGACAACGACCCTGAAGATAGTCCGACCTTCAGTGGGAAACGACGGGGCGGCTTGCGCTCCGACATTTGGAGGGGCTCTTTCCTTTGATGTTGCTTGTCTGGGGGGCAAGCTGGTTGTGATTGTTAACCCCGGTCTTGCTCTTGATTCTGGCTGTTGCTGGGTTCTGGCTGTGCATTGGAAGCATGCCTGTCGGATCACGAAAACCGGCGATTCTTCAGATGTTGCAGTTGGTTTTTGCTCGTGATGTTGCCAGTGTGGGCGGCCGGCTGCTGATTGTTGAAATGATGCCACAATGATGCTCATGATTCTGGCTCCTGGTCGCTTGGTGACCTCCACACCGTTGTTGTTGCTGGCTTCCGGCTATTGGACCGAAGCAGGAATGTTGCTAGCCTGGGTGGCGGCCGGCTTCTGATTGGTGAGACGATGGCCCGATGAAGCTCATGATTCTGGCTCTTGGTCGCTGGGTGGCCTCTACTGTTGCGTTTCTGGGTTCCGGCTGTTGGACCGAAGCAAGTCTGGGCGGAGACCGGCTTCTGCTTGTTGAAGGGATGGCCCGATGACGCGCATGATTCTGGCTGTGCTTGGCTCGGCAGCCCGTGCTGAGCTGGCTTCTGGCCGTGGGAACGAGGCACCTGTGACAATGCATTTAGCCTGGTTGCCTCATTGAAAAATTGCTGACTGTCATGATGTTGCTGGTAGGGGCGGCGGGCTGCTTGTGATTGTCGAAACCACGGCCGAATGCTCATAATTCTATTGTATTGGATTGGCGGACTTTGTTGCCCCCGTTTCTTTCGCTGCTAGATTACGAAAGCCGCTGATTTCCCATGATGTTGCTTGCCTAGGGGACAAGCTGGTTGTGATTGTTGACTCAAAGCCCCAAGTATTACTCGTAGATGATTCCGGCTCCTGTTGACAGTTGCTGGCTGCCTGTTGAGTCGAAGGACCGGGGAGGAGCCGGATGAAAGAGAGCCGGCCATGATGCCGCTGACCTTGGTGGCTGGATGACAATCTCGGCGCTTCTTGTGATTTTGCTGGTCGGGCTTGCCGAACCGAAGCCTCAATGCTGGCGCTTGCTCGCTGGATAGCCTGTGCTGCCTCCTCTGTTGATGGCGTCTGGCTGTGAAAAGGAAGGACATGCACCGACCGTGTTGTTGGCTTCCGGCTGTACCTCATCGAAGCTCCCGTGATAATGCGTTTCACTTCGTTGCCGGATTGCGAAAACCGCTGACTCCGTGATGTTGTACGTTTGGTGGAAAGCTTGTGAGGGTTGAAGGGAAACCCCTGGCCCAACGATGCTTAAGATTCTGGCTCGTGGTCGCTTTGTTGCCTCCACCGTCACGTTGATAGCTTCCGGCTGTTGATTGAATCAGCACTCCTACCCGTGCTGCTAACTGCTAACATGTTTGCGGCAGGGGCTTCTTATTCTTGATACGAATTGCCCAATGATGCTCGCGAGTCGCATCTCTCGCTCGATCTGGGCGGCAGCCGGCTGCTGAATATTGAAACGATACCCCAATGATGCTCATGATTCTGGCTCCATGTCTCTTGGTGATCTCCACCGTTGCTGTTGGTTTCC